AGGGAAATTGGGCCTGCCTATTATGATTTTGATATATTACACCCCCTGAAAGGGACAGAACAGGTGGCCGCGCGTTCTTTCGGCACTCTGTCCTTTTTTAGACTCCCCCTCCATTTAGCATCGTTGCGGGCTGTTTCGTCTTATCCCCGCACATCTTTTATCTGTTTTGTCACAAAAACCGGTTTGTATACTGTCGTCTCATCTGCTTTTTCTTGAGTACGTTTTTTAATCGAGATAAGTGCAGTGACGCGTTTTAGTCGAATCTATTTTTGTGTGTCATTTCTGACTTGACTGTGAGGGTGGAGTAATAAAATTGTTTAAAAATAAAAAAAAGTTGTTTTCTTGTCGATAAAGAACGTAGAGTTTATTACAACACTAACAATTAAGACATGATTTGGAAATAAAACTTCTTTAATCTTTGAATCTACACGAGCCTCATTCACTACACATTTTTCCTATAAACTTTTTATCTGTAAATTAATAAGTAGAATTTTCATATTGAATACAACCTACGCGTTTTTCTGGTTTCAGCAAGACAATAGAACGTTTTCATCTTTTTTATAATAAATGTAGTAAGTATCCAACTTTCTAAAGCTTTTTTTGTGAATACAGACGTTACTTGAATCGCGTGTAAGTGGCTTGATGGAAGAAAATTTTACTGTCGGAGCTGTAAATGTAATGAGAAAGTGGCGTGATTCATAACAAAACGATAAATCAAGAGCAACGGCTGCAATTAGAGAAATTATACATCAACCCTTTTAGATGAGGTCAAAATATATCATGATGGAGCGCATATTTTAATAGGCGTATTTATGGAGGAAATGCGGGTAATGTACCTTACTAGCCTTCTTTTTGGGCCTTGTGAAATATCGAGACATGAATTTGGTAAGATCCTGATGAATTCAAATATGTATGACCTTATTCCCCTTTGTTCCTAAAAGAAATTTATTTTGCAGGAAGTTATTTACGCTGGGTTGCAACTTGCACCATCTTACTTTAACTTTGAAAAACGTCAAAAATCTGTCAAACTCTACAAAAAACACACCGGTTATCGTCATAGTTACGGTCAAAATTAGGTCGTGCAAGTCAGCCTTGAAAGTTCAAGCTATTTTTCTTCCTATAACTTAAACTTGAATAAGAAACACATTGCTAATTCCATTATTTATGAAAACATCGGGAATGATTCCTCAGTTGTGTAAAAAGAATTACCTATTTATGTATTTTGTAAATATATTTAAAGTAACTTAATACGAAAGGCACACGTTAAGACATTGTTGTATCTACTAACTGATACCACGATAGCCTTTTTTTATGTTCCAAGTTTATCTTTAGCACAATAAAAAACATTATTTGAAAGACACACGTGATTCCATATTCGTGAATAAAACTAAACTATTCATGTTGTTTCCCCTTTTATACAGGAAAATCCATATTGCGAACCTTCAAAGTAAAAGGTAATAAAAAATATATGGTTTCATCAGGAACGTTTCATCAAAAATAAATTGAAGTTACATGGGGAATAGAAAGTGGAATGGAACGCCTATAACTAAAATTGCTGTTATGGTATACGATATTTCCATGGTTATTTTTAAAATGGATTTTTTTTTGTTTTCATGTTTTTTATTTTAATAGCAAATTCAACTGTTAATTGGAAGATTGTAGGAGAGACCGGGGAGAGTTGTGACATTGTTGTACATAGTGCAGACCCAGCCAATAGGCCTATACGATGCTCTAAACCGCGACAAGCTACGAGTAATAATGTCTTTTTATCGAATTTAGGTGACAAACCCATACATTTGTCGTCGAAAATGATCGATACGATTTAATCACGGCGCGCATCCTAGCCTGGCTGAGGGCACAATTATTTTAAGAACAGACACGCTCTAGGGTGGTATAGTATGACCGACTAATCGCTGCGTCTTGAAACTTCAACCGGTCTAACTTTTAAATTTGCAAGTCTGTAAATGCAAAATGTGCGGATAGGCCCCACTAGGTGGATCGACGATCTGGTGAAGGTCGCGGAAAGTACCTGGATGCGTTATGGAAATCCTTGGGGGAGGCCTTTATCCAGCAGTGGACGTCCTTTAGCTGAACCGAACGAACAAAATGAATGCAGAACCACCAATTCAAAGTAGACACATAAAATACCAACACATTCACACTCGACAGTTTCCAGGTCATATGGCCACATGTTTTGGCAAGGGTTAAGCGTTCCATGCCGTCTCCTTATAAACCTGTCCTGCTCCAAGCATTAACCTTATTTTAACGAAGCTCGCGCTGTGGAATTATTGCGCTATTACTTTTATAGCGCTGCCTCAAAAAAGATGGGGTTGTTCATAAACTGGTAACCCCTTTTTCTGATAAAAGATCAGACAAAATAATGTATTTTTTTTATAATAATTTGAATGTAACTTCGTATTTTATAAGGCTATCCATAAAAGTAACATCAAGCAAAAAATGAATCACATTTCCAATCTACAAAATTCTGGACTTGTCCCGATTTTTGGAACAACCTGTGTAAAATATCCTTTGTTCTAACTCTTAAAACGCTGCAATCTAGCCCTAAATAAAGCAAGCCTACAATGAGTAAAACTATCGCTGTTATCTGTCTATCTAAGCCATAACATAAAATACCTACCAAAAAAAAACAAATAGTACTACCTACCTACAGTTACTGACGAAACATGACATGACGTTGACATGTCTACATTATAATTAAGATATTAAGTCCTTTTTCCTTTTTCAGGTATCATTTTAGTATGCAGAGCCACGCAGAGTAATGGACCCTGCCTACGTGAGTACCCAAGCTTACACAACCCTAAGGACCTTCAAACATTAACGTTTGCAAAGTTTTTTGCGCCATCTATCTAACTAAAATTATAAGATTATGACGTCATATAATATACAAGCTCAATCGTCGTTCGAAAGAATCTGCACTGATTTATAATATGAATGAATGTTATGGTAATTTAATCTGTTTAAATGTTTAGGTATTAAGGACTTAAATAAATAAGCTCTCTCTCTCTGTTTTTCATTCACGCAGAGATGGCTTTGATGGCAAAGGAACTGTGGCTAAGCTTATTTCTTTTTATGACTGTTAGTAATGCCTACTTTTAGAATTTATCAAGGTTAGTTCATATAGGTGTATAATCCAATGAAAAAGTACGACACTCATCATCATCATCATCAGGTCATCTCTATAGATTTGACTGCAGGAGCATGCTCCTTATTCTCTACAGGGTGTACCATACCATTTTTATGCTTTTGTTAACATGGGCTAGTGTCGGCTCATATACCCATTTACCTAACATCCTGTATAGGTAGGCATAAGGACTACACGCTGGCCAGACGGATAGTAACTAGTGTGAGGCTTCAATAAGTAGTGGGGTGGTCCTATTCTGCTATCCCAGAAACTAACTAACTATAAACGAACTGAATTATAAAACCCTCACATTATGTAAGATAAAGCTTGAGTAGGTATACTCACTGGTTAGGTTTTTATTGGCGGTCAAGATATAGATCCTGGCTACACAGGAGTTACAGCGGTGGGAAAGAGAGGTGAAAAAATCCCGTTTGAGTGTACTCAAGCAAGCGCATATCCCAATGCACGTTGCTCCACGGAATTTTCGCTAAATTTCACGAAATATCGGCGTGGAAACGCGGTAAACTAGGTTTCTATGGACACACTAATACGAGTATTATAGTGAAATTTGATGTGTATGCATGAACGCCCAACAAAGTTAAATTCACAGATACCTAATCCTGCATACTTAAACGAGGATACTAAGATATAATTCCATAGAACGCGCCAATAGAAACTGTGTATTCTAAAGGCTAGGCTTTAATTTATTTATTGAGTTAATTATTCAAATTACGGTGTCCTGGTTTATGCGGACAAAAAATCAGAGTCAAAAGTTTAATATAAGTTGCCAAAATCATTTGCCATGGCTCGATCCGACCGAAAGCCTAAAGACTATTTATGTATATAGAGATCTAAATGTCATCCTATTTGAATAGTTAATTATAATCAATAAGTACACACCTACTTAAATTGTTTATTTTTCATTAAAATCAAATTAATTGCGTATTTTTCATAAAAAAAAATATTTTCATTAAAATCTGACAAGTGCTTCTTATAATCCTACGCCGATATTTTCCAAATTCAGCATTAAAAAGTGATGACGTCTTAATCAATAATATTTCCAAAACTCATAATGGTTGTTTCTCGTTAAAACTTGACTTTGTACCTATTAATGTAAGAGCTTGAACGATACCAGAGTTCTGGGAAACGTAGAAATTCTCCGAAAAAGACATTTTGCCTAAAATTTCCATGTCATAGCTTTTACATTTAGAAATACAGGCCTAATGCTGTGTCAATTTAAATTCGTCGTCTTACAAATTTAAAATTAATTGAAACATTAATTAATGAGTAAATATTTCTATTTGCATATTTTAATTCTAATTATTTTAATTCTAATTATTTTACCTATAATGCAAAAATTGTCTAAATGTTATACAAAAATATAGGATTGGTCATTTTTACGCCTAGAAGCTTTTCTCCTAATCAACCATTAAGTTACTAGAATTTTTGGTGATGGTAAAGCTAATTTTTTTAGTACCTAATTCATTATTATAATTTTAATCTTACTTAGTATACCTGAGCTTGGAATTAAAGTATTTATTCTCAACATTAAATTATAATTATTAAAATAATTTGACCCTAATCATATTTCAAATGTTAATTTTATACTTTATACGTTTTTGGTTTCACTGATTTCATTATAAAAGACAAAGCATTCAAAACTCATTTGGTAAATTCACATTTCGTTGAACTAATCTGTGCAATCACATGGATTTGACTAAACGCTTAATTAAATTAGCTTGTGTGCAATAAATCTTCAGTGAATTAAGTTCCATACTAAATTGGGCTAATTTTGAGTTATGATCCGTCTATTATCACCAGTTATCTAAAACACTTAATACACTTAAAACCAACTTACATGTTCGAACCAAATCCTCAAAGCGTGCACTTTAACAAAATCATTCCACGCAATCCAAAATTCAAATCAAACTTCCATTAACACGTTCACGGCATTAAACGAACTGTTTTACTGAAATCACGAACACAAGTTGCACAGATGCGCGAACTTCGAAGTTCGAAATTCGAATGGGACGACGGCGCGTGGTGCGCGGGCGGTTGCGCTCAGCCGACTGAAGATTCTGAATCGCCCAGAATCTCGCCCAAACTGCGCAGGGCGGCTACCACGTAACGATAAACGTAAACAAAAGCTGATTTATCGCTATGAAAGTGTAAGCTAATGGTGTTACGTTTAATTCCGCGGTTGTTAGCTTGAAGACGTTGGGTGGTACGGGGATTTACGAAATAGTTTGTAAGATAGAAAAGGAATAATATTCGAATAAATATAGCTATGAAGTCAGAGAAAAAGTTTAAAAATATTTATATTCTGATTTAAACAATTTATTTGGCTACTGAATACAGTAATTAAATACAATAAATCAGGTTTTCCATGATCCATAACGACTATAACGTCCCTCTACAACAAAATCATTTCCATATCCTATACGGTGCGAAGGAGAGAATAGTAATATAAGTATAAAAATAAATAAATAGCTGATAGGTCCAGAGACTTCGGAAAATCATAGTTATATGGTTAAAATATTTCTTCTATCGTGTAGTTTTCAATGACTGAGTTCACAACCAAGAAAGAAGATAAGTGTTTGATTGGCGCACTCAGAATGACGCCATTAAAACCATTGACGCTCTAACTTATAAAAGCAGTTCAACACTGCAATATCTAAGTAATATTTTAACTAAATGTATAGTAGTTGAACTCATCAATCTAAGAACATCTTATTAAACTAGTCTAGATTCCACAGCATTAAACTAGTCTAGATTTTACCACCAAACCGCGAGCGTTCATCTGGTAGATTCTATAAATAATCCCGTATTAAATTAAATTCTCTATCATGAGATACGTCGCGGAATATCTTAGGCCACATGTACACACGACAGCTTATCAGTTTACCAGTTTTTGTTGCACACTCGCCCCTATTACAACTGCACAAGAACCGGCAGTAGTTACGTTGACGTGCCGTCGTCTGTACATATTTTGAATTCATGCCAATTTTACACATGAACCATGCAGATGGATCCGGCGTAGATCAAGAAATAATTGTCTGCGTTAGACAAGGTGTAAACCACCGACTTTTAGATGGCCGATAGTTGGGCCCAATTCTAATTTGTGTGAAGAATCGGCCGATAACAATCGGTGTAGCGTGCGCACTTTCATACATCTCAAACTGATTAACAGCCCGACCCAACTATCGGCCAGCTAAAAATAGGTGGTCTGCACCTAGGCTACGACACGTTTGACTTAAGGTCCTATGTCCCCTAGATGGGGCATGGGCGTCCACAAACAGTCCTCCATCGCGTTCGGTCTAGAGCTTCGCGCTTAATCTCGCTCCAGGTCTTGCCGATTTTCTTCGCTTCGTCTGCTACAGTGCGCCGCCAAGTTTGCTTGGGGCGACCACGTTTGCGTTTTCCTTGGGGGTTCCAATCCAGAGTCTGCTTAGGGATGTGATCGGGATCTCTTCGGAGAGTGTGTTCGATCCAGTTCCACTTGCGGTGCTTGATCTGATCTGAATCCGATCAAGGCTACGAGACGCGACTGACGCGAACTGTGTGACTGGTAGCTAGGTCCGACGAAATTTTTGTCTTGTCTGCGGCAGACAAGATGAAATTTCTTAGCGTGTAAGAAGCCTTAGGGCTTCGTGCGGGCTCGGTCGATGCCGACGATGCCTCCAGTGTGATTAATTTAAATGAGTGTCCCGAACGGTCCATTTACATAATCTGCCAGACGTGTGATCACAGTGTTCTAACATTTCGATGTGAGCGTAAATTGGATGAAAGGATTGCTTTTCTTGCCGTATAAACTTTGGTTATTAGGTTTTTTGGTTTTACTTGCGTTCTCGCATTTCATTTAGTCGATAACGAATTAAAGTAATGTCTCTTACTGTCTTGTTTAACAGTATAATATGCCAGACGTGTGATCACAGTGTTTAATATTTCAATGTGCAAGTAAATTGGATGAAAGGATTGCTTTTCTTGCTGTATAAACTTAGGTTATTAGGTTTTTTGGTTTCAGTTGCATTCTCGCATTACGTTTACTCGATATCAAGTTGAAGAAACGTTACTTATTTTCTTATTTAACAGTATAATCTGTCAGACGGTGATCACAGTGTTTCTAACATTTCGAAATCAAAACGTCATTATTCTTCTTGTTCATCAGTGCGTACCAAAAATTGCGATCTTTAAGATGTAGTAGGTATTTACTTTTAGCTCAAAACACTATTATACTTAATATTCCTTCCTGTCTAGAAAGAACGCGTTTTATTAAATGCCACCTAAGTTAATTTTTTTCTACTACAACTTATCAAATTGCACGCGAAACATCGCCCCAGTTTTTTCACGACAAGCAAATAACTTTAATACTTGACACTTGAAATATGCAAGAAAACATAAGTCCTGTTAATTAATAGCATGAAATGCAAAATACCAACGCAAAGCTTGCATATTAATGCAACAAAAACGTGGAACACACGTCTCTTTTCGCATTGAATTTTTATGTAAAAAAGGGAAATATTTTACTTTTTATCACGAAATGGCGTTGAGGCGATTACCATACTTATTATTTTAACGGGCAGTTTCAGTTGGAGCGAATAACTTCGGAAACCTTTTTAAGTTGAAAAAATATATTGAAAACTATATTACTTGAGTCACTTTATCTTTAAGTGAATCTTTGGACATCTGCCAACCTTATTATCATAAATCAATATCTACTGAAGGTTAACGTTAAACGTTAGATGCAAGAAATAATTACAGGTCAACCTTAACTGAAATGGAAGTAGAGTTTGTACACAGAAGTTTAAGTTTAAGAGCGTTTACGCGAAGCGCGGCGTTTCAAGGGGCATCATTGGAAATGATTCGCGCGCGGCTTTTTTTAATAGTTTCCAAATGTTTATAGCAAAACAATAACAATGAATTATATATTTTTTCAAAGTAAATATTTTAAAGAAGATGTTGTTTTATTATATAAAGCTATTTTTATGTTGAATTAAAGAAGAATAATGGTGTAAAAATCACTTTGATTTTTGGGTATTTCACGTTTTTTTAATTTGTGATTTCTTATTGTAAAATGCTTAAATCTAAAAAAATTCTCAGATAACTATTTGCCCAAGGATCTATGCTATAGGATATAAATGTCTGTTAAATCGTTTTCACAGTATTTTTATAAAAATTTCAGCTTGTAAACTGACGCTAAAGTGGAAATTTACAAAACCTGGGTGGATATATCTTGATAGAATTCTTAAATACTAAACTAATCGCAATATTTTCTCAATTAACTATTTAGACGACGAAATTGCCTAACTATTTATGCCTATAACATATTTGTAATATTACTGGTTAATGATTGTAACGAGTTGAAAAAGTACTGTTTTTGCGCCAATCGGCGTAAACGCTCTTAACAAGTCAACTACAAACGCAATGAAACCTGTGTTTCGTATTCAACCTTATTTTGAATTTTTAAGTGACCTTCATGAAAACAAAATTCACAGTTAACACTGTTGCCGATGGTACATAGGACAGTAAATTAAAATAAATAGTTTTATGTGCTTTCGTTCGACTGTACACTATGATTGCAATCAATGATTGAATATTCCGTAAATTATTTTAGTACCTACCAAACTAATTTCAAATATTATCATCACATCATTTTCAAAAACCAAAACCTATTTGGACCCATCAATATTATCTGGTAGCCTTACGAGAGCACCTCACAGTCAGCCTTTATATGCCGTAAATCAATTTTCTCTCGGCCTTGTGCATCCGGATCTACATTCTGCACGGTTGGGTTATCCTTTAAAACCACCATTATAACAATCACAGGACAATCTAGGGTAATATTACGAATATGTTATCAGAGAATGGTTTTAATTGTACCAAGATTTGCTTTCTTTTAGTAATTTAGTGTTAAGTATAAAATCGTATGGATTAATTAACGCCCGCGTACCTAATGCTGAGTCAAAGAAACCTTGCAACTTATTTGTGCATTGATGTCAATAATACTTCCGATTACAACTTGTTATACTTTCAACTTTATTATTTCTAAATAAAGATCCCTTAATCAAGAGCTACGCATAAGCTATAATGATCTGCGTTTAGAACAATCCCTCTAATGTTAAAGCATCCGTATATTGAGTAAGTCACCCTACACCACACTTGTAGCTTAATTTTTAAGACCTATCACTATAGTTCCTTGTATTTTCGCACTGTACCTTTCCGAATGAACGAACCCTTAGTTGATACGGCATGAAACCTAATAAGCGTCATATTCTTTAATACAACTTATCCCATACCTCGCTAATCAGACCGGACTGTGTTATCCAATATTGCCCAGCTGAATGAACTACCCTATCGCTATAGCCTAGTAATAAGATTAGACAGGCCAGACCGACGGGCTATAGAGTTCCGTTGACGGCTAGTACTTGTCACGCCTAATTTAGTAACGCCAGCTCAAAATTTTACCAGGATGAATAATTAAATTGTAACTCAAACATATTAGGTACAGTAATACGAAATATCAAGTCGCATGTCTATATTGAGGCAGCAAAAATACAAAAAAGTAACTTAATAAACAAATAACGTAAGTAGCAATAGAAAACACAAACAAGACAAAAATTGTGTAAGAACAGTGCCACCTTACATTGGACGAATAAACCACTGGACACGAAACCTACAAGATTTCTAAGGAAACACGATCAACCACTTTTTGCGGGGTGAGAGGTTTGACAATTGTCAAATAATGACATTTAGTGCTGGGAAAAGATCGTAAATTTTTATCGATAGTTATGTAAATGAATGAATGAATGAACCTAACGAGATAAATGAATTATGGATTGATTNTTATAGTATATATATAAGTATGTGCGTTTGGAACAAATGAAAGAACCTAAAAAATCATCAAAAATATTATAATAAAACTATTTTAAAGTGTAACATTTATGTCATTTGTACATATAAAATGATGACATCTACCCACATCGGGTAAAGTAATGTTGCTTTTTATTATTTCTCATATTTGAAGAAACTAGGTATTTGTCAGGTATAAGATAAT